TTGGACTCGATGGAGGGACGGTGTCGAATTCTATCCTACAGCTGTGCTGTATGATGGACAATACCCACCGATCAGATGTGATGGACTCCCAAATGGAGAGTCAGCTTCACAGCCGGTCCTCAGATGAGAGGGGGGTGGGTAAAGGATAGGGTAGAGGAATGGTTCGCCAGTCCCGTCAACGCTGCCTCCTGTCATCATATCAGCGGTGACCCTGTTGGTAGCGTTGTTGGGGCTGTTGTCGGCAGCGTTGTTGTTGTTGCTGCCTGTGTGGAGGCTGTTGCCTAGGATGGTAAGGCTGTCTGTATGGCAGACGGGTCCATGCCCACTTACGTCTCAGTTGTGACCGGAGCTCCATCCGTCGGGCTGTCATGCGGAACTCATGAAGTTTTTTGAGTTTGTGATCCGTCTTTGAGTGGAAAAGCCCGGACCCATCAAAGGGCATTTCCTCGATTCGGCGCTTGGTCTCTTCGGGGAAGTTGGTGCTCCTCAGCCACACATGCCTGCGAAGGGAGACAGCACCGACCAAGGCCCTTGAGTTGGTGTCCACATGGTGCCTGGCTGTGGACAGCTGTTGGACTGCGACGTGCATCGCCTCCTTAATTAGCACCTTGGCCAAGTTGCTCTGGTGGTCTGGGAGGGCCGAAACGACGTTGTGGAGGCGTTGCATTCCAAAACACTGGTATCTCGCCAACGTCGCCTCATAGTTTGAGATACGCAGTCCCAAGTCTGAAGCTGCATAGACCCTCCTGGCCAGGGAGTCGATCTTACGGCCCTCTTTATCTCGCGGAGTGGTGTGGCCTCTTGCCTCCCTACCCTGGGAGGACTCCACCACGACTGAGTTCAGCTTGGGGTGGTGGAGGAGGAATAGAATGTCCTCCTCCCGAACCCGGTACATGGCTTCATACCTCCATGATGCGGGTTGAGGGTGAGAGGGCAAGTCCCAGGGCTGCATCATCGCCTGCCGTAGGGTGGTGATCAAGGGCAGGACAATCGAGGTGGACAGCTCCCTGCGGACGACGTCATAAATTTTATCTGTCGACGGCCCCGGGTGCTGGATGGCATCGATATCCAGGGACTGGATGAGCCTGGACATCAGCTCCATGAAGGAGACGTGGGACTCGTTCAGTGACGCAGGCTCTGGGAGGTCACTGCAACGTCAGGAGAGGTAGAATCGACGTCTGAGTCGGCAGAGTCCGTGCCATAATACAGAGGAGCCGAAGAAGAGGACTCCACCGGCGAGACAGACCGGCTGCTTTCATCCCGGGAAACCGGGGATGCGTGCCTCGGATCCAGCGGCAGCGGGTGATCGCGAGAGTGTGGTGGGGATCGATCCCTCGGTGCGGGATAGTACCCGGTAGAGTATGGCTCGCTCCAAGATGGATAATAGGAGTGATGCCATTCCTCGGATCGTTGTTCCCTGGAGCGACTCCTGCGGGCCCTGGGCGGGGATCCGACCACATCCGCCTCCATTGTGGCCATGGACATAGGCATGGGCGACCTAACCCTGGGGGGAGAGTCCTGAATTTCCCCATCAGAGATCGACCCCCACTGAAGAGGTGGAAGTGGCTCGCTGGAGGGGTCAGCCACACGCCAAGGGGACCCTTGAGGGGTGTCCCTCATAGCTGCCTGGAGTACTGGCTCGGGTGAGGTCGGTACGGTAGCTGCCGCCGGTACCGATGCGGCCATCGAACCCGAGTCACAGTGCCGTGGCCTCTCCGGATCCTTTGCCTTCCGGGTCAGTTTAGGAGGCTTCTCCTTCCTGGCCTTCTTTGCTGATTTATCAGCATCGGCATGTTTGCACTTCTTGCGTTTCTTCTTGGGAGAAGCGGGTGGGGCCCTCAGGGCAGAGGCACCTTCATCCAAAGGGCGTGAGGGCGGGACCACTGTACCCGGGCCAGGCTTCGAAGCGACGACGAGTGGGTTGGACTGCATAAGAGCCCAATCCCACAGGAGCCTCCGGAGGCAGTTCTCCCGATTTTTCCTGGCCTGCTTAGAGAAGGCCAGGCACTGGGAGCACTTGTCGGTCCTATGCCCCTCCCCCAAGCAGAGGAGGCATAGGTCGTGCAGGTCAGATGGAGACATCTTCGACCTGCATTCTGCACATTTGCGGAAAGCCGCTCGTTGCGCCATCGCAAGAAGAGGAAAAAAAGAAGACAGTGCAGAGGTAAGAATATATTTTTGGTTTTTTTTTTTTTTAATAGAAGAAGGTAGAATGGTAGAACGAGACGACAGAACTAAAGAACTAACAGGAACTATAGAGATAACAAGAACTAACAGGGGTATAAAAACTGGGAGCTTAATAAGGAGAAGAAACACGCCACGAGTAACGGTAAGAGTGATAGTCGAAAGCAGCATGAGGCACAGTGAACGGCAGTCGCAAAGACTGAACAAAATGGCGGACGCTCTGTTCTTTATAGGCCATGGGGAAGGGGGAGCGGAGCTTTTCCGCCAAAAACCGTTAGCTTGTAATCTTCTGGCCAAAGGCACTGCGCAGGCACAGCACCCATATGTGTGATGCACAGAGGCCACGACGAAGAATACTGTTTATTTTTTTACAGCGCGCGCTCTCTCTATCTCTCTCTCTCTCACACACACACACACCTGAAATGAAAAATAAAAGCTGAGTTTCCAGAGCAGATACTCTAACACTTTAATAAGCATGAGCTTTGACTAGTGCCAGACTTCATGTATTTCTTGACAAGAAAGCCCATAATCCACATTTTAGCTAGCCTAACTGCACGGCAACTTAGCAAATTCAATTGACTTATTTGCCTGGACAAAAACTCCCACTAGTTTTTTGTTTCCCTGATTCTGAGATTTCAAACAGCAGGTGATAGATTCTTCTGTCTTACTCAACTACCCGTTAGACAAAGCCAAACCTGCTGTGCTTAATTCAGAAGGCAATCCCACAGCAGTGGATGCCAATCCTAGCTACAAAAGTTTGTCTAATGGAAAGCAGCTCCCACAATGCTACAACTGTGCCCAAGTGGCAGGTCAGCCCACTTGGCCACTGTTGAAGCAACTATGCAAAAATAAGGGAGCTGTGGCATGTTTCCTGGCTCCTCTTTATTCGAGGACAAGAGAGCCACAATCCTGGTTGCCAAAGCTTGACTTTTGACCTAAATAAGGTTTAGTTTAGGAAATGAGTCATCCTAGAGTGGTAATAATTTCTGATTGGTTTACATAACAGCCTAAGATGCTATCTCACACAAGGTCAGACTATTCATCCATCTGGAATGCTCAGCTTCCCAGTGTCCTCAACAGAATTTCTTGTCTTGTCCTTTAAAACAGAGCCCTTCAAGACTAAGCCTGGGGGTTTCTGTTAGCAACACATGTGCTTTGCTACTGAAATTCAGCCTCCTCTTAAATATAGAAGGGTGTTGGTAAGATCAGGGGTCCATGAGTTGCACTAGGTTGCATATTGGACAAGCCCAGTTTGCAGTGAAATGCAGCAATGGATAATAAAGTCTCTGTGGCAGAAAATCCATACAGTAGCTTGTTCATACCAATATGGGATTGTATCCCGAGATAATGAACACTTTACCTTGATTCCCCTGACGCATATCGGTTATGTGAGTACCTAATAAATAGAGTCAGGAGCCAAAGGTTTGATTCTAAAATCCTGACAGGATGTGCATTTATGGATTCACCTAAATTCTTACTAAACTAAGTCTCAGAGAATGCAGTCCCAACTGAGTAACAACTTTTACATATCCTCAAGTCCCTCAACACCTTTACTGAAGATAGTTACTATAATATATATAATAAACATACAGCTCTTTCAAAGAGGCTTACATAGTAAAATCATGATAAAACATATTTTTAAAAGCATAACATAAATATACACAGTGGAACAGTGCTATCTAAAGCTAATCAAACAACTTTTAAAAACAGCAACAATGGAGAAAATATTTCAATTAAAAGACTGAGCTAACTTCAAATTAATCTGGTAAAAGCAAGGTTCTTAAAAACTGTTTGAAAGCACACAAACAAGGAGCTCTGTGGAATAAGGCTCCAAGGTAACGAGGCCATCACTGAAAAATCACTCTTTTTTGTACCCATCAGTTTGATGGACCCTAATCATTGACCTAACAGCAGGGTCCTGAAGGCGTATCTTAACAACTGGCCAAGCATATAAGGGTGTAAGTGGAGCTTAAAATAACCCAGGACTGATAAAAAGGGTTGGGTTGGTTTCTCTCCCGTTAACAGTACAATTCTATATATGTCCTCTCAGATATATGCCACTGAATTTAATGGCATTGAATCCAAGGCAACTGTCTATCGGACAGTTCCCCAGATGTTAAAACTCCCCCGAGAGCCTGGCTGAGCTGCTCTTTCCATGACCACTTCTCTTCGGTTGTTAGAGACATGCCTTGTTAATTCTGTGCTCTCCAACTAGCTGTGACTTTGGCTCCTTGCTCACTCAGAGAGAAGCTTTCCTTTTACATCTTGCATGTGCTGGGATGCCAGTGCTTGTAGTGCCACATCACTTTTGATGTGACCGTGGACACTTCTGAGCACCATCACTCCCACCCAGTGGCGCCGTGGTAATTGTGATGTGCAGGCACTCAGTGAGGCAATCTTCACAGCCATGCCCCACAAAGCAAGTCCCAAATTGCAGGCAACTATGTCAATCTATATCAACAAACCAGTTACAGAGGTTTCATCTCCAACAGAAGTAGCTCCTTGTACAGCTAAAGGGTCTGAGCTGCCCACTGTAGACCAATCCACCAAAAAGTCCTCCGTATTACAGCAGGGAGAATATAGGGAACATCCAGGTTCCCACTCCCCCTTACTGTGAGGGCTGCTGTCCAGCAAGGAGGGAACATGGGAGTCTGAGAGGGTAGGCCGCCCCGAGGCTTTGTGCGAATGGGGCGGCATAAAAATGTTCTAAATAAATAAATAGGGCATGGCGTGCTAGCAATCTATCCACGGCAGGCCTAGCTCCACTGCACCACTGCTTCCACCCGTCGACAACCTGAACAAAATTCTGAGCTTACCTTCTTTTCAGACAAATCATGGTCCAGCTCATCCTCAGAAGCCTCCTCGTTTTGCTGCTGCTGCTGTTGCTGCTGCATGTCCTTCATTTTTATGAGCAGTTCCGCCTTGGGTGCAGAGGTACTATAGTAAGTAGAATTGGTTGTCAGGGGTATAGCCAGAGGCAGAGGGGGCTCCTCTTTCCTAAGCAAAGGATGAAGAAACAATACCCGCTTTAGTTTACATCTGACATTCTCACACTGAAAGGAAGAGAGGGATTGTTCTGAAATATTGTTTGCGGCAAGGAAATTGCATGGTTAAGAGAAAGATCCTCAGCTAGGGAGACGCTGCAGGGTCTAATGGCTTGCACAATATAACAATATGATTCTGGCACTCTCAGAACCTAGCTATAAAGACAGGCAATTAAAAGAATCTGCCCAAATGACTGCCTGAAAGTGCAGATTTCCATTTTGTCCCTTAATTAATGTTATCTGGCAGTATTTGGATTTCCATGCCCTATCCTTGATTATATGGGCAGTGGTAGGAAGGTAATGTTTAAATCTCTTTGGGGCTTTCATTAGCCTTGAGTATATAATCCCATAAGCACACCTTTTAGTGAAAACACAGCTGCTTGCGTTTCATTATGTACAGTTCCAATGCTTAAAAGAGGCTCTTACTAAATACATTGTTCAGTTAACAGTCTACTACTAAACACAACCTTCCCGAGGAGACAAAAAATACTTCACTGGTAATTTAAAACGGAAGATGTATAATGAAACCCAGAAATGCCAGCAGTTCTTTGACACTAAGCAGAACTACAACATTCTCTAATTTAGAGCCTGACATTGTGCATACTTGCATGGACATTCGTTTCAATGAGTCTGTTCAGCCTTATTCCCCAGGAAGGATACGCTGGATTGCAGCACAGGCTTGGATGGATTTACAGTTTGCTGTCTACTTCGTCAAGGTGGCTGGCTTTCCCCCAGAGAAAAAATGTTTAGAATAGAACTAGGCAGCATACCAAGAGTCACCCGAGTTTGAGAAAAGACTAAGCAGAACCTACTATATATAGTTACCAGAATGCCCGGTTTCACCCCTCAGATGGGCTGCACCTGAGTATACACACTGGCTGGGTTTGCACAAGACATGAAACCCCTTGGGAATTTTAGCCATGCCCTGTGGTTAAAATTCTCTTGTGCCTGACTAGCAGGTACAGCAGGGAGGCACACAATCCCCCCAATCCTCCTGCAGTATTGCAGAAGCCATTGCAGGACCACCAAGATGTCTCCTGAACCTCAGCAAGTCATAATGCCAAATGCATGGAACTGGTCGATAGACTTAAGTATGTTCATCATGGGGTTGTCCAAAACAAACGCTTTGGACAACCTACCAGCTCTTTTGGCCCAAGGAATGAATGCAACTTTGGAGAAGCATTCAGGAGCTGTATTCCAGTGGTCATCAGAGCCAAAAGCAGAAGAGGTGGGGTCAAAAATACAATCCCCTCCACCAATACTTTGTTGATTAAAGCTCTTAGAACCAATAAGGGTTCTTAGGTGAATCATTCAATCTTTTAGAATGGGGCAAAACAGTACACAAAAGGTGGGAAACAATGAAACAATTGGTGGCTGGGGGAAAGGAGATGTTTCCCTTCTAATTAATAAGTCACATTAGTTTTGCACTATGAACATTAATGTTGCTTATTTGATCTACTGTTTTTTGTTTTCTGTTCTGTACACATTTTATGCCATGCAACTTGCAGCTAAAGCTGGCTTTTCATTGTTTTTTCATTATCCCTGCCTGTCCTGGAAGCAGATGGGAGACTACAAGGCCCAGTCCATTAGCTTGGCTGGAACCTACTGACACTTCCCTTCAAAAGCATCTCCCTCCATGACCATTTCACTGTTATTACAGAATTTATTTAACAACATGCCAGGAGTGGAACCTGAATTTGCTCAAGTTCCTCTCTTCTCCATCCATTTTTCCTTTCAGTATTGTATTGGTGGTTAAACTATATGGCATCATTGCCATTACAGATCACCTTGAATGTAAAGATAAAAAGGTTGTATGTAAATGTCATTGGCTACTTAGGCTACAATTCTACAAAGCGATGGATGGTAAGTCAATTAAGACCTAATAGCCATAACAAGAAAATGAACCTGAATACACAAATACTGGTGGCAAGAATTGGGGAGGAGAATGAGAAAGGACAAAGTTGCCATGAGGCAACCACAATGGCAGTCAAAGAAGATCAGAGGGAATACTGGGGAACTCACAATCAGCAGACAGGGGTGGAGAGAATGAGTTCCCACCAAAGGTTTCTCAGCTATGGAAGTTTCCCAAACCAAGGCTTCACGTGGGCACAGAAACTGCATGTGTGATGCATGGAGACCGCAAAGAAGAAATATTGGTGACAAGAACAGGGGAAGACTAGGGGAATTCAGGCCCTGCTCCTGGCTTACCAGAAGCATTTTTCCGCTGAACACAGGATGTTGGACTATCTTCAGCATCCAGTAATGAATTTTTATTACAAAATTGCCTCCTTCTTAAAAAAGTTAAATATGCATATGTACATATAATCTGTGCACATGATGTACATGTTGGAGAAAGGAATAGATAACATCAATGGCTTGTAGTTAAGAAATCTTTACTTACTTGTCTTCTGCCGTTTTTGGTGAAGGGACTTTTAAAAGAAGCTTTCTGCGTTGTTGTGCTTCTTCTAAAAGATGTTCATCTTTTGGGAAGATTCCCACCATCAAGTCCATTGTAGTTTTTATTTTTACATTTGGATCCAAGATATCTGCTAGTGATTTATCTTTGCCCACTATCTCTCTGGCTAGCTCTTCTGACTTCCAGTCTTCGATTGTCTTTTCTTTGGCTCTCACATAACTAACTGCATGGGCAGAAGCCTCAGTGACCTTTGAGTTGGTTCCGAGTGCTTCAGCAGGGTGCAAATATGGCAGTCTGGCTTTGTTCTCAGGCTCTGACTCCACACCTTGCCTTGTATAAGCACAGAAACGCGAGTATGACTGTTCAGAAGTGCTAAGTGTCTTAATCTGGTCTTTCTCCAAGCCGCTTGGTAAAGCAGGGGGCTCTATTGTGCTCACAAGGTTCTGCCTACTTTCCTTCTCTGCGTGACTCTCGGAATGGACGATCTTGATAGGAACCATCTTTACGGTTGTATTGTTATCCATCACTCGTTCAATTCTTGAGAAAAGAGAACAACATTAACTGCTAAAAATGCCACATCATATTTAATATATGAAACCTGTTTAATCACACATTTATGGCTTTCCACATTGTATTATTGTTAGTAGCTTCAGAATTAATGGGACTGCATGTTTAATAACAAAATACCTGCTTATGCATGTAGAGACTGAATGGCACAGTTTTGCACTGCATATTCTGGATTATTCTTAAATACACATTTCTTTTCAGCCATAAGCATTCAGGTTACAGGATGGGCAAAGCACTCAGAGATTTCAGAGGCAATGACTCTCTTCCTTTTTTATTTTTATAAGCAGAACCAAACAGCACATAAGATTGTGTGGACATGAACTTAGTGGGACTTACTTCCAAATAAATGTGCATCAGACTGCAACTTGCATACAATGTCTCTCTTTTGCAAACATTCAGTGCCTTGAACAACTTAAACCACTATGATGGCAGCTGATGACAGAGTTTATGTACTGTAGCAGCTATCTATAAATGGATTTGCACCTTTCTAGTGGCATTATATACACATTCCATTTGGCATAACCATCATGTTGCTGTAGCTACATTGGTGCAGAAGACCGCTTAGTATGCCACAGTATAAAGTCTTATCTTTATGACCTGAAAGCTTCTTAAATTTTGCCCAACACTGGGACAGCATGGTAATGCTCATGCAAACTATTTGTGATCTATGGTATACTTATCCCTTAATGAATAGCGCCTCTCTTTGCATGACAGCGATGAATTTACAGTTATCGTAATATTGGTGCACAGCAATTTTGCTTCTTTACAGTTAGTTCTGGAATATGTAATCCTAGTAAGATAACTTAGTTGGCTTATTAACATCCAGCAATGATCAATATTCACAGTGATCTTGTCAATTCCAAATGTATTTTGTCTATGTCTGAAACTCAGACGCACTGTTGAATCTTGCTACTTACCTATATAATGTTTGTCAGACTTTAAAGATGCAGGTCAAAAACCTATATTTGCATATTGTATAAATGTGGCATACTTTCATTCCAGTTTCCTATCATTATTATCATTACATTTTAGTTATACTACACTTTCTCCAAGATACTCATAGCACCCATCTGTATTCTTATTCTATGTGGTAAGTTAAGTTGAGGGGCAGTGACTAAGCCAAGTTAACCCAGTACAAATTGTGGCAGAGCAGGTACTTGAACCCAAGTTTCTCCAGTCCTAGGGTCACTATTCTGCACTTCACAATATTTATTAGCTATGAATAGCCATGGATGAAAATATGTATTTTCTACTGCTTCTGAGATCTACTGAAAACAGAGTATGTTTCTAGGTACCCTGCAATGATGCTCCAACCTTTGAGTTTTCCTGACACAGAAGGCTGATGCTGGCCAGAGAACACAATAAATCCACTGGTCTGGGTACATTCCTAAGCACACTAGCCTAATTCCACTGATTGCTATGGCACTCTGCTGATGCAGAAATACCTGCCATTGTCATCAATGCATGGCTTGCGGCCCCATCCTGCAGAGTGCTTTTGCAGCAGGGAACGGAGAGTTGCACTGTAGGGTGGATGCCAGCGAAACCCACTGTAAGAATGGAGTGATTGTTGTTCTGAATTTTACTGACAATTGGATTCTTGGTTACTTCAATCCCAACAATGCAATTGCATAGAAACTGTTTTTGACTCAACACATTCTAGACACTGGCTCTGATGTACAGTTATGGGTATCATGCATACATTACTAAAAGAATGCATAATTAGAGTGCAGTTCCAAAGTGAGAAGGGAGCACTGAAGTAGTAGGTTTACTACTTCATCCAAACCTCTGCTGGCCTGCATTGGCCAAAAGAGAAGGGGGAGGGTATTTTATCTGCTGGTGTTGGTTTTTAAATCCCCCCTGTTCCCAGTCCTTATAATGGGAGGAAAATTTCCTACCCCAGCTGCAGGCTGGCACAGGGAGGACTGGAACACCTTGCCCCAGAGGAGCAGAGAGGTTTGGATCTGGCGGCTTTAAGGCTGCCTGTGTACCTGGGATGTTTTCTGATAGTTACTGCCACAGGAACATTGCTAGGGGCACTTCTACACCTGCAGACCTCAAGGTGCACCACAGGTGTTGCAGAGGCCTCCACAATGTCTCTGCCAAATCTGAACACCCTCCAGCAAACTAGATCTGGGATTAGGATTATTATGCTGGCTATTGTGATCAAAGTTAACTCCCATTCTGTGTCATTATGCTGACATTGTAAAAATGGTGCCAGAGAAGTCAGTCAATGGACCTTGGAGTAGAAATGCTAGAGTATGAATGCATACATATGGATGCTACTCAACAGAACTGTGCGCCTCTCCCATGCACCCATGTCACTGAAATCCTAGGGCAGCCTTTCCCAACCAGGTGCACTTCAGGTATTTCGGATGGCAATTCCAACATTCCTGACCATGGCTTATGCTGGCTAGGGCTAATGTCAACAATATCTGGAGAGTGCCAGGTTGGGAATGGTACCCTCGGATTCATGGGAGCTCATCAATTCCAAATGGGACACTCTGAGTTTTGGGACAGGGCTGTACCATTTTATTACACTCACATGTTGAAATGACTTTTACAATGAATACCAAAGCTATTGTGCCTCAAATGTTCAAACTGTTTAATCACTCACTTATGGCTTTCCACATTGTATTATTGTTAGTGACATCCTTCACAGAAAAAAAAAAACATGTGGTACTGGACACAGTGTTAAGCACACATCCAGAATTCTTCTAAGTACCCATGTGACCTGTGTTTGAAACAGCTTTTCCCAACATGGTACTTTCCAGTTGTTTTAGGCTACAATTTCCACCATCCCCGACTATTGGCAATATGGGTTGGGGTTTGCAGTTATAGTCAAAAACATCTGGAGGGCATCAGGTCAGTGAAAGCTTGTTTAAAACTACACTGATGAATACAAAAACATTTAATGCCCCTGAAATACACACCAAACCGTATTATCTTGCTGATCTAAAAGTTCAAGCTCTAGACTGTCTGCATCAGTGACATTCTTTAGGCGCTCCATGGCCCCAACACCTACTCATGGATTTCTTGGCCTTCCCCATATTTCCATGTGTCCTTAGGGCAGCTAATAGAAAATGGATTTGGGAAGCATGCAACATCCATATCTTGTAATAACAACACTTACTAGAAGTATGTTCTTGCTAGCCTAAGTAATGAGAACAATGCATGCAAGAAGCATTAAGACCTTTCAAACACTATAGGAAAGTGTGAAGGTATAATCACAACGGTGATTGAGAATAACGATGACTAAATACAAATGCAGTATTGATTGGAGTGCAATATAATACATATTGCAATGGCAGATACACCACCTCTGTATACTGTTGGTTAAGAGTGCTGGACTGGGTCTCAAGAGAGCTGGTTTCTAGTCCCCACTCAGCCACGAAACCCACTGGGTGACTATGGATCAGTCTGTGCCTAACCAACCACACTGGATGGTTGTTGGAGGATAAAGTGGAGAGGACAAGGTTGTAACTTGGAACCTTGGAATGGCAGGACACAAAAGCAATGCAGCAGCAACAAATAAAAAGGGAAATATCTGTACCAACCTCAGTCCTGAGTAAACCTCAATTTAATGTGAACTGAAGCAAAACTTTAAGTAGAAGGTTAATACATTCATGCTAGCCATCAGTGTAAATATAAATGCCACCACAGGTTAAATCCAGTGTTGCATGAGCTCTCTGCAGTAGGACTTTCAGAGAAAATACTCCCATCTGCTGCTTCCTGGGAACCCCCGGATCATCTTTGTAGGGTCCTTCAACCCTCAGGAGCAGACTTGGATGCCTGCAGCCATCTGTGGAGGGGAGAGCAAATCCATTCTGCCAGCTATTTCCATTCCATCAGCAGATGGCCACCACTGGATCCAAAACTAAGCAAGCAACCAATACAAATCACATACCTCTAATTTAAATGTCTTTTTTACATATAGAAAAGCTTCTAGTCTTCATAAGGTAAGTATTTCATGCTCCTACTAACAAAAAACTATTCTAGTCTATTGTTCAGCTGAGCCAATTTAATAGTCATCTATGGCAGTGATTTTCAACCTTTCCACAGCTGGGGACTGGCGAAAACAGGAAAACCCACCTCGGGGACCGCTGAGGCAGAAACAAAAAAACACCATACACATAACACAGTATAATACAATACTAATACACAGTATTGTGTGTGAGTTTCCAAACACAAAACCAAAAAAGTTAAATTTCTCCAAAACAACCAGAAACCAAACAACAAAAAATGCCAACAAAACAACAAAACCAGTGTTGTGTGGCTCCCAGCCAGCTCCCACCAAGCTGTCTCTCCCCTACCTGTCCCCCCTCCCCGGTGCATCCCCCATGGACACGATGCCAACAGATGAAGAGTTGGTGAAGCACAACCAGACCCCGTGCTGGTCCACAATAAATGGGATGCAGCCCTCCACCCCATGGACTGGCACTGGTCCACCAACCAGTGGTTGATCACCACCCGTTGATCTGTGAGATACTTTCTGGAAGGTCATGAAGAGAATGAATCCAAGGGTCCTCCCCTATTGTTTATTTCTCAACAGTTGTCTTTGAATGGGGATGCTCCATTTAGCTGTCAATGTCCAGGGTCACTACTATGAGAAAGGTAGTGGCCCTGAAGTTTTTTAACTCTACTCCCAGTCAGTTTTATTGGATGAGCCATTCTAGTATTAAATATAGGAGAGAAAGTTCTCTGTATGCCACAAATAACTTTATGAACTTCACTCCCAATCAGTTTTATTGGATGAGCCATTCTAGTATTAAATATAGGAGAGAAAGTTCTCTGTATGCCACAAATAACTTTATGAACTTCACTACATTTCCCCCTTATTTTTCTAAATTAAGTGCTGCTTTTATTTAAAGAAAACACTCATACCCACAATCACTTTGGTTGCTCATTTTCACGTGTTTCCCCAAATAATAGTATATCCTTATCCAACTATGTTTGTATAAAGTTTTACAAAACCACCTCAGATTATAGCTAAATCCTAAATGTACTACACAGAAACCTCCAGCTGAAATATGAATTAAGTAAGTTGTACTGGATTTATGTTCAGATAAATTATAAGGCTTTGTGCTTACAAATGAGAAGGCTAGCCTGGAAGCCACGGGGAGATTCTAGTTTTCTTTCTTCTTTTTTAATTTTGTTTCAGTAATGTAAAACACCAGTATCTCTGGATCTTAGTCAAAGGGAGTTCCTTCTTGCAGTATACATTGGTTGTTGCTGTTGCGTCATAGCCTATAAACTGCCACATTATTTCTAAAACAATCTGGAAATTTTAGGATTAGACAGACAAGATGGCAATCACTAATGTAACTTAAATATTAAGATACATGGTTAAGAATGGGTATAAAGCCGCATTACCTAGTGGGATTGTCATCTTCAACAGCCACAGGAGGTTTGTCAGTCAATTTCTGTGGAGCAAACTGTGGTGACGGAGACCGTGACGCCTCCATTTCGGCTTTCAAATGGTGATGGTATGTTGAAGACAGCACAGGTGCAGACGGGAAGTGTCTTTTTTCTTCTAAGTGCGGACAAACATTATTTGTGGGTGCTGATTGTGGAGGCCCCAGCACCTCGGCACTTATTAATTTTCCAGGAACCTTTAGAGAAGTCTGAGGAGATGAACTAACTGCAACCACACTGGCAGCAGTGGGAGAGCAGGGCTGACCTGGCCTGTTGGACAGTGTCAGTAGAGAATCTGAGGAAGTGGAGAGTGATGCTGGAGAACAGTCCTGTTGATGGTATTTATTATCCCGCTTGGGAGGGGGAGGCCGCTGAGGCACAGGGCCATGTTTCTTATTCAGCAGTGCTGAATCTGCCGGCAGACTCTCCTCCTCTTTGCCTGGTGATGCACAGAAGTAGTTTGTGTCTGATATTTGTAGCTCCGAAATGGCAAGAGGCAGCACACTGTGATCTTTTCTTTTCTCACTTATGTTTTCCTGCAAGTACCTGTAATCACTGGGCAACGTCCCAGATCTACTTCTGCTCCCTTGAGATGCAACTGCAGGCTGACCTGTGTGGGATGGCTTTGGGATTGCCTTCCATTTGTTCCCGGAACTGTAATCCTGCCGAGCAGTGTCCTCCTCCCAGTGGCATTCTGGGTACCCTGTATCAGTCGGCCTAGGAAAAAAGAGGAGGAGAAAAATTGCTATTGCATGGTCATCACTGGAGCACTAATGAATGAGCTGTGGGTTCAAATTAGTTGTGAGGCCAAAGATCTGAAGGTTATCTCACATTCCACAGCAATACGTAACTCTAATCTACCCAGACAGTGTGGTTTGAGTCATTCTATTTTATCAGAAATACTATGCAAATTCCCCACTGTTGCTGTAATAGTATAGGTAATATTATTTAACCAGAGGCAAAATGCAGCTAACAAAAACAGAATGACTGTTTCATTCACATGTAAATTAAAGGAGGTGATTACTTGAAGAAAAGTTGTACAAGCTATTTGATTTTCTTTAGACCGTGGGCTTTGTATCCAATTATACAGGGATAATTCAAACTAATCTTGCATTCCCCACCCAAATCCTGTTCCTCTACATTAGATCATCCAGGAAGAAATCAGATGGCGACATAGGCTTACACTTAAGGTTGTAAAACAACTACAATGTACAATTGCACAATATAGATTTGCTGATGGTGGGACAAGACAGAAGAAAGGAAAATATTTTTCAGAAGAGCATAAGGTATGACAACAATTTGGAGTGAAGCCCCATTGACCTGAACTGAATACTACTAAGGTTAGTGTTTGTTTATATTATTGGTTTATTGTCACATTATGGATTATTGTCTTATTACTTATTGTTTTGAGTCTGTGTGTTTTGTAATCCACTTTGAGAATCCTGTTGGACAATTGATTTGTAGAATATAAGCCAAATAAATAAATAACAACATTAAGTTTGAACTAATAAAAATTAGGTGTTTTCTGGCACTCACACAAAGTTTTGTGGAAATGGTCTGACCAGCTCATGAAAAAAATATTTCTCAACATTTAAGTGGAAGTCACATCACCCATGGATCTTAGGAGGGTGCAAATTTTGCTTTACAATAAAAAATGCCTTAAATATCTGTAGCAAATATTTTCTGGAAAAACTACACAACCTTCCTTTGCAATTTCATCCACTGCTAATTATAAGCAGGCCCCTGCATTCCACCTACTAAAATCAATGAATAAACACAATGCCAGCAAAAGCATCTGAGTAACAGCCCTTATTCTGTATACTTTGTTCTAGCAATAAGGAGAAGGGCAAATAACTACACCAGCCTTTCCTAGGTAGTGGAAGGCTGGAACAAACAGTGAGGACTTCTGGGACACGTAGTCCAAAACAGAGTACCAGGTTAAAAACGGCTCTGTTATAGGCTTGAAGGGCACTGAAACGACAGCCCCCACTTGAGAAAATCTCACTCAGCCGCATGCCTGTCTTCTGAAAGAGTTCAAGCTGATTTTGCCAACCTGTTTGCAAGTATGTGTGCAGCTAGCTGAGCTGCAGATTTTGGTGAGAAACTGTGGTGCAGGAAGCTGAAATTCACAGAAAACTGAATTCTGAAAGTTGTTGCAGTCATTCAATCACATCCCACAGAACAGCTTTGATTATCAGATCAGTATAGTAATGGAAGACTGTCCTTCTATATAAGCTTTCAAGGGTAAGATAAAAATATTTCATGGATTCTTCTATATTGGATATTCTGCTTTACAGAGAGAAAGAGAGAGAAGCTAGCTTCATTAAAGGAACTACCAAAACTAGATGTATGATATTCCTGAGGTTATACTTCAGTGCTTAGGATATATGAACAGACATCAGTAAGAATGATTATATGTCTAAAGAAAGTGCTGGAACAAGCTGATTTCTCAAAATATGGGGCAAGCGGAAATGAAAAAGGCAGCACTAAATAAAGGAGTGAGCAGGAACACAAGAACAACTGTGATAGCTCTATAATTAAGAAATGGGTTTAGTAATTTAAATGGGGGGGTACTTAAAGAGTTTCCATATAAACATTTTCTAAAGATTTTAATAGGAACGCCGGGGAAGGTTTCCTTTCCCCATTCTTTTAAAATTAGTGCTATTTAGTAGGGTTTTTTTTTTAAGAATGTCAAAAAATATAGACGGTAAATCTTAATTTTAAGGAATTAAATGGATTCATGGGGGTGGGAAATGAACTGCACACACTGGCTGGGTTCAGATGATCCACTCTTTGCTTAGCAAGACTCATGCAGCCACATAGAGCTTGTTTTGTCCCATGCTATTCCTTCCTTTGCATGTATGCAGAATCAAGCCAGGAGGGAAGAAAACCAGGGCATCCAGTTATGTCTAGGGCAAAGAACAATAATTAAAGGTTTCTAAACAAACCAGAGGATGAAACCATGGGTTAAATTTAGATATCACATCAGGGCTTATCTGTTCCCAGTTCAGACACAGCAAGAAATCATATATGTTGACTGTGGCTTGTTCATGCAAAGACAGAAGCAAAGCAGAAGCAAAGGGGGTACAGCTTTTATATAATTTTATATACAGCTTGTATATAATTTTGCTTACCAAAATGAGATTTTCTTATCTGAACACAACCCAACAGTAATTTTGCAAGAATTAAAAAGCAAGCAGAAGTACCTCTGAGACCCAGAAAGAAGGCAGGTTTGCTTTCTGATTAGAGGAGGTTGGAGAGACACTGTGAGCATAGAAAAGAAGCTGAAACAGAAAAGCAGGAGCCTTAGGAATGCTGCTTGTTCCAGATTACAGACAGAATAAGAGCGATTGATTAGACATTTTTAAATTATATTAATTGGATGCACTGAACACAGATGTTAAAGTTCTAGGCCTGTGGAAGCCAATGTCAAACTTCCTGGACAATTCTAGAAAGGCAGAATCTCATTTAACTAGAGCTGATAAGTAGATGCAAATAATGTAGATCTGTATTAATTGAAATAATGCCAGAACTACAGTTACTATAGTAGAAGGAAGACTGGCTCAGGGCACCTGAATTACTAAGCATAAATGTATAAACCATTACTGAATGTCAGCTAAACACATTCCAGGATGCTTCTCTTGTCTCTTCTCTTGTAGGGTTTCTACAAGTCAATCCCACATTTCAGGATGCTTAATCCATAAACTTCAGATGCTATTGTTGGTAAATGGGAAAATCAAGTATAAAGGTTTTGCAAAACTTTCTAGCAATGTAACCAACAAGAACATCTGTGAAACTATATACATGCCTTGTGAATTTTGCACCTTTGCTTATTGCAAGAATGATATTCACTGGCTGCGGAAGAAGATTACACCTGCAATCATTTCCATTCTTTAATTAGGTAAAACTGATTTAATATGCTGTTTTAACTTCCAGACACTGTATTATTATTTTACTGTCTGGCAGAGTTCCTTAGTTTTGAGACATGCTCTTTCTTTCTACAGTCCCTCAAAAACTAGACACACTCCTAAAGACATATTTTGTTTCCCTTCTTTTCCAGAGTTTTGTCATTAATTTAATTGAATTTTGCCTCAAAATTAAACTCTACATACATAGTACTATTTGATTAGTTTTTTAGAGCATTGGTAGTGTGGGAAAGGAGACAGCCAATGTTTTCAGACACTGGCTTGACAGCAAAATCCTGTTGCATGTTTACTTTGACTTAAGCTCTACTGAATTCAATGGGACTTACTTAATGCCACGTACGTGCATTCAAGATTACAGTTTAAGGTCTTGCACAAATCATTTGTATAAATCTCCCCTTTGATGCAATGTTATTATATTTGAGAAAGTATCTAATATAATGACACAGTGTTGTTGAGTGTACACACACACATACACAATGCATGTACACTGGAACCCTTTTTGACTGATAGGATGCAACAAAGGCATGCCAATGTGCCTGGTTACTCTGCATACAAGGCATACTGGACATCCCTGTAACATCCGTATTGGTGAGGACTAGTTGGGAGATCTACATTGCTGTTAATGAAGTAATAATGCAGCACTTAGAACAGTGAATGACAAGCACTCATTTATGAGAGAGAAATGAAAGCGCTGTCAGGGGAACCATGGGGGTGAGAGCTTTTGTACATCTTATCCTGGTATGTGAGAATCAAATTTGTTCCTATCTATGTAGACCCAATCTGGGATTCAAAGAGGTCAAATTTCAGTGCAACAGAATGTTTAAAAATGGCTTTGATGTGCATTAAGTAGGCCATTGGTAACACACAGGGTGTCATGTCAAGGTAACAGTACTCATAAATCATCTTGCACAGCTTTTGTCATGGTAATATTAATATTTAAATGATGCCAGAGTGTGGGGGTATGGAAATATAATGAGGATTAGCATATATTGTGTTCCTGTTGGAATCACTTGCAAGAATAAAACCTTAAAAGTATGTTAGTAAATATTTCATTTGTATTGCTCTAAAATGCCCCAAGGCAGACAAATTCTCTGAAATTGTCATGGATGTTTGAATGCGTGCTCATGCAAGGAATAGGAACACTACTCAAAAATCAGACAGACATTTTGTATCTTGGCATGCAAATTTGAAAAGAACTTGTGAGAAAGCCAAAAGAACAGGGTGTACTATCACCCATAGAGCATGCTTGACCAAGAATTCTTCAGTCTATCGCCAATATATTCTCTTTAAGATTTTATCACAGTTATCAAAACAACAAAATACATGTACTATTGTTACACATAAAATGATCTTAGTTAACTTGTGCTTGGAATTGAAAGGACACAGTCCAAGAGAAGTCACAGCTTCAAATATTTTCTGTGAAAGTGACTGACTGGGCTTTATGAGACTGGGCACAAGAGGGTTATAAGGAAAAGGTGGCTGCATTCAACATAGAGGGTGGTGATTTTTCATGCAACATTTTCATGCCAATCATATTACCCTGCAGAGACTGGAGCTTACTGGTCAGAAACGAGAAAAGAAAGCAAGCTTCAAGCAGCAGGAGAACCCAGAGGCAAAAACCTGTAAAGTGTTACAGCAGTGTTAAGTTCCAAGAAGCCCATCTTGGCAGTTCCTTCAATGATTTTGCAGGACAAACACACCTGAGAAATATAACTCAGAATCCCTTTTCATTAAGAGATCATGTTTCCCCCACCCCAAAGCAATCATTGGGATGAAAAATCCCCTTGCCTA